CTCTTTCTCAACTCCTGTGGCTGGACGCCGCTCGGGCTTGATGGATGCATCCCCGCCTTGTCATCTGTCCCTATCCGAATGGCCTGTATTACCTGGAACTTGCCTGCCAAGGAAGTCGTCTCCATCTGCTTCTCCTCCTCCATCTTGTAGTGGAGTAGATGGAGAACAGCAAGAGGATTGTTCCAATCAGCGCTGGTCCCATATCACAAGTCGTGGAAACCGAAGTCAGTGGCATGCTGCTAAACAGACTGGATTTTCTGCAAGAGGTCCGGATCTACCTGCATCTTCATTGCTGGGAATGCCTGTGTCTGCGATGGCTGTGCTGACTCCAACTACGCTGACTCCAGCAGCGGCATCATCGTCGGGTTCAGCTCCTTTCCTTCCTTCTGGATCTGTCTAGGCACTGCCTGCTGTGGGAGGTCTGGACCTATTGCTGGGAGCTGCGGGCATTTGCTATCCTGCTTCTCATGTGCCCGTGAAAGGTTCCACGAATTGTGTGAGGGGTAGGAATGGGAAGATTTCTCCATCCCCATCTCCAACCATTGTATTGGGCAGGTCAATAGTGAGAAATGTCTCAGTACCTGGAGCAAAAACGTTGTGCTATCCAGGAGCACGAGTACAGGACATCAATAAGCTGCTCCCAAACATTTTAAACCTGCATCAGGAAATTGAGCCTATCATCGTTCATGTGGGATTCAATGACATTATGGAGGGCAGCTCAGCACAGCTGAAGATTGGGCCCTGTGCACTCCCTAAATCGTGGCATTGAACGTTTCATCAGACTTTTATGCCTCCATAACTGGCTATGTGACTATTGCAGCTCTGTGGATGTAACATTTATTGACAATTGTAATACCTTCTGGAAACAAAGCTTGTTTTATAAGAAGGATGGGATCCACCCAAATCATTTGGGCTCCTGGATCCTTTCACAGCAATGACCTATCAATGACCCAAGCCCAGCTCAGTTCATCTCTACCATTGTGTCGATAAGTTGTCATAATGCTTCAGCAAATGTACATTATCCCAGGGGTGTTGGAAGACACAATGAAAGTAACCAAATTGATGTCCTAACTTACCTGAATGCCTCTGCTGATCCGACAGCTATTGTATACAATAATCATGTGCCTATGAACCAGAGTTATACTGTTAGCACTGAGGTGGTGTGCCTTAGTAGGAAGTCCACTGTGTGCAGCTCACCCTGCACTAACATAAATAACATGAGCATGTCTACTTCTGCTAAGCTTCCCAGTAAAGCAAAGAAAACAATCAAGCATCCCAGAAAGGTGCTAACAAAAGCCCACGTTAACATATGTAGCTTAAGAAACAATATATCAATAATTTGCTAGTAACATATTCTGACAATCTCTAAAACTCACTTAGATAATACCTTTGATGATGTAGTGGTAGCAATACATGGTTATAACATCTACAGAAAAGCCAATGGTGGAGGTGTTGCCGTTTATATTCAGAACCACATTCCTGTAAAGTTTAGAGATAATCTCATGTGTTTGAAGTAATATGCCTACTGGTTCATCTCCCTCACCTAAAGCCTATTCTTGTGGGAAACTGCTATAGACCACCAAGTGCTAACAGTCAGTATATGGATAACATGTGTGAAGTGCTTAATAATGTATGTGATATCCACAGGAGGTTGTTGGCACCTTAATTGGGGAGGACGGGCTCGTGGTAATGACAAGAGCGGAATGCTATCAAATATATCAAACATCAGTTCATGCTGCAAGAGCTCTGATAGGTTGGACGATGTCCTCCGGAATTTGTCATAATTACTGTATAAGTCTATGGAAGGGGATGAGAACCATGTGCCTCCTAGGTTTTGTATTGAAGTCAAAGTACCCAGAGGAGAACGGAAGCTAGCTGTCCTCCGGCTACACCATTGTGCTACCCTACAGAGTGTTGAGGCTACCGTGGACCTTAATTGCAAAATAGTGTGTTTTAATCAATTATTTGGTGACGTGATTTCTTCGGTGACATGTTTTTTATAAAAATTAAAAATGACTTAAGGTTTTACAATTATTTATTTTTATGACATTCACTGAGGATGGTCCTCCCCTTCCTCCTCTGAGGAGCCTCCACTGATGAGTGTAGCTTACTTCTATGTGCTCTGGAGAGATCACAGGTAGTGGTCATAAGGCTGGAGGTCCTTGGGCCATTTTGTCTATGTAGCACCTGCAGAGCGATGGATAGATGTAGTGAGTGCTAGAAAGAGAGAGAGCCCTCACCCCTGACCTCCCACTCGCCCAGGGCCTCCTGCCTAGTATGATGCAATTGTCACGTTCGTTGTGTAAAGGATCGGACCAAGGTGCAGCGTGGTATGCGTACATGTTTCATTTGTTAAATAAACACTTGACAAAATCACAAACGCAACTGAACGTGACGTTCTAAAGGCTAACAGCAACAAGCCTAAACAGAAACAAGATCCCACAACATAGGTAGGCAAAAATGGCTGCCTAAGTATGATCCCCAATCAGAGACAACGATCGACAGCTGCCTCTGATTGGGAACCACACCCAGCCAACATAGAAGTAGATAAACTAGATATCCAAATCACACCCTGACCTAACCAAATAGAGAATAGCAGGGTTCTCAAGGTCAGGGCGTGACAGCAATGTAAAGGAAAACAATATCATGACTTACTGATAGAGTGCTCCATGTTCCTGGTCGTAGCAAGCCTCAACCTGGATGCAGAGAAATGTCCTGCCTTTTAGTATGGTTGCATCTATCTCCACCAGGCTCCAAGAAATCAGATGACAAACCTGCAGAGATTAACATAATTAAATGGTACCTGATTCATTTATAAATTTGCCTATTTCACATTCATGCCTGTAAATGACAACAATAAATCTGATTAAAAGTATGCATGCCATTTTGTCATAACGGCTATGACAAAATACATGGCATACTGTCACGATCGTCGATAGATGCGGACCAAGGCACAGCGTGGTAAGTGTACATACTTTTATTGAAGTACACCACACGAACAAAACAAACGATACGTGAAGTCCTAGGTTAACACCAAAACAAACCTAACGGAACAAGATCCCACAATGACTAGTGAAAACAGGCTGCCTAAGTATGGTTCCCAATCAGAGACAACGAGCTACAGCTGCCTCTGATTGGGAACCACCCTGGCCAACATAGATCTAAACGATCTAGAATGAAAACATGGAACAACTAAACATAGGAAAATCCACACCCTGGCTCAACATTTAAGAGTCCCCAGAGCCAGGGCGTGACACATACATATGAATTAATAGCTAGCTAAGATATTATTTATATTAAGGCACCATGTCTCATCTCACTAACAATTGCTAAGGCGAACAGCAAATTCCACTATTGTGGCTAATCCATATTGTGGCTAGCTTCACATAGATTACTTATTCCATCATGACAACATGCTCCTCCTTATTTGACTGTAGTTAGCTAGCTGCTAGCTTATAAATTAAGTATACACTCTATTGCTTAATAAGTAATCTAGTTAACATGACTAGCCAACATACATTGCTTCTGAAATGTCACAATCCTGCTTTTAATTTTAATTTTAATTTCACCTTATTTAACCAGGTAAGCCAGTTGAGAACAAGATCTCATTTACAACTGCGACCAGGCAAAGATAAAGCAATGCAGTGCAATAAAAACAACAACACAGTTACATATGGGATAAACAAAATGTACAGTCAATAACACAATAGAAAATCTATATACAGTGTGTGCTAATGTAGTTATGGAGGTAAGGCAATAAATAGGCCATAGTGCAAAATAATTACAATTTAGTATTAACACTGGAAAGATAGATGTGCAGAAGATTATTTGCAAATAGAGATACTGGGGTGCAAATGAGCAAAATAAATACCAATGTAAATAACAATATGGGGATGAGGTAGTTGGGTGGGCTAATTACAGATGGGCTGTGTACAGGTGCAGTGATCTGTAAGCTGCTCTGACAACTGATGCTTAAAGTTAGTGAGGGAGATAAGTGTCTCCAGCTTCAGAGATTTTTGCAGTTCGTTCCTGTCATTTGCAGCAGAGAACTGGAAGGAATGGCGGCCAAAGGAGGTGTTGGCTTTGGGGATGACCAGTAAGATACACCTGCTGGAACGCATACTACAGGTGGGTGTTGCTATGGTGACCAATGATCTAAGATAAGTCAGGGATTTGCCTAGAAGTGATTTATAGATGACCTGGAGACAGTGGGTTTGGCGACGAATATGTAGTGAGGGCCAGCCAACGAATGCTTGCTTTACATCTGACAGATATTTACCTACTGTAGCTAGCTAGATAATAATGATTTATGATAATTGCAGTTTAGTTTATTATCTAGCTAGCTATGTGTAAAACTGAGAGTGTGGCTGTGAAACGCAGCTAGATAGCCAACTTGACTTTATGAGTTGTAGCCAAGCTAGCTAGCTTGATACTCAGTCACGTTAGCTTACCATGCTTTTCTGGCCAGCTGGACATTCCTCTCACCCTTCAAGGGTCGACTCCTTTTTGCCTACTCCCGTCTCTCTATATGGCTGTAGTCCGGTGCCTTATTCTCAAAAGCAACCCACTCGTAGTACAGCCACCTGGTGCAGGCAGGCAGTCAATGGCTCAATGTTCCAAAACTGTTCACCTGTTTCAATGTCAAGCAAGGACAATGTTCGATTTGTTATTTTGGTGTTTTCAGTGTGTGTCACAGCAGCCCCACAATAGATTTTATCGCCAATTTCCCCCCAAAAATGACATATCATATTGATACATAGCTATATGCGCTAAACATTATTAATTGGAGGTGCTAATGTGAAACATGGCCTTTAAACTTTGAAAATGTTCTGTCATACTGAACGCAGCCCAAGCAAATGCAATCTATCAACACGCCGTGGCATTGATCAACCAAGGGTGTCTTAGATACCACCCACAGGGCCGACCCTCCCATTATGCAAGATTAAGCAGCCGCCTATGTCGACACTTGAATTTGGGGCTGCATTTTGACAATTGACAGCTGCCCTCCGGCGCCCCTGATCGGCTGCTACACCGCCGACCGCACCCCAGCCACCAGCTCATCACGTTGCTGCAGTTCCCTCCCTCACCCCATTCCCGCTTCTCCCGAAGTTCACTCCCACTATCCTTGGTAGCTATGGTGATGTGTGTGTTTATATGGGATTATCCTATTGTGAAATATTAATACAAATGAATCTCCAATTAAATGATTGTTTTGTTTTTTATGTTAGCCTGTTAATGTTAGCTAGCTACTACTAGTGGATATAATTTTAGCTATAGAGATTTGAAACAATTTGCTACCATGTCTAAGAGACAAAATCTATCAAGAAGCAAATATCAAAAACGAATGAGAAAAGAGGCACAAAGAAATTAGCTGCTGAAATGTATCAGCGTGCAGCAATGTCCATCAGCCGGTGTGGAGAATGACAAGCCTCCGAGGACAGGCCATTCATTTGCCGAGAACAACGAGCCACCGTTCGCTGATTCTAGCAGTGAAGAGGGCAAACCGGAGGAGTCCGAGCCATGCACTTCCACTGATGATGACAGCTCTCTGGCTGGACAGGAACAGGTGATTGCACCAGGCCTAGCCACACCTCTAAACAATGCCGGCAAAGACCCTACTATCTTGGACCCGGACTCAGATTCGTCGCTCCCCGTCCCCGATGACAGTGGTGGTGCTGCTGCTAAATCCAAATCCCAGACAAAAAACATAAAAGATCCCGGTGAGTGGCCAAAATATATGAATGGATCTTTATGGGATATGTTTCTGCAGGCTGGGCCACATCAGGATATATAGGGGAATTTCCCAAGAGATGAGGGGCAATGAAAGTTTTCGGTGGCCCACTACAATAGGATGATGGTGAACAGGGAGAGAGTGGAGAGACCATGGCTTGTTTATTCCAAGCAAAACGATGTAGCCTTCTGTTTTTTCTGCAAACTTTTTTCACACGAGTGCAAATCTGCGCTGGTCAGGGATGGAACCAGGGACTGGAAGAATCTGTGCCACCTCCTCAGCTCGCATGAGAAGTCGCATGACCACCTAGATAGTTTCCAAAGGTGGAAGGAGCTGGAGATCATGCTGGTGACCAAGAAAACTATCGATGCCCAAGCCCTATTGACGGAGAGACTCTCCACTGCAGCAGGTGCTGCAGAGGCTCATAGCCCTGATACGCGTAATGGCCACCCAGAACATTGCGTTACGTGGGACCACCGATAGGCTGAACGAGCCAAATAATAGGAACTTTCTGAAGTTTGTGGAAATGCTGGGTATCTGATGGAATCATGAAGGAGCATGTAAGGAGAGTACAGTCCAAAGAAACACATACACTACCTCGGTAAAATAATCCAGAACGAAATCATTGACATGCTGGCACAAGAGATCCAGCAGACAGTGTGCAGTGATCTAAAAGCAGCCAAATATCTTTCTATAATTTTGGACTGCACACCAGACAAGAGCAAAACAGAGCAGATGACCATGGCGGTGCGTTTTGTTTCAACCGAGGATGATGGGTCAGTGCGCACGAGAGAGCACTTCCTGGAGTTTAGTGAGCTGCTTGACGCAACGGGGGCAGGCATGACCGAGTTGCTCATCTCAAAACTACAGAAACATGGCATCACCATCATGAACATGAGAGGGCAGGGGTATGACAACGGGGCAAATATGCGGGGGAGGCACAGCGGAGTTCAAAAGAGAGTGCAGGATATCAATCCGAGGGCCTTTTTTGTGCCAAGCAGCGCACCCTCGCTGAACCTGCTTCTCTCTGATGCAGCATCGTGTTGCTTGGAGGCGGCTAAGTTTTTTAACACCATCCAAGGTTGGAGGCAAACAGCATTGCCGCCAAGATGAACAACTTTGGCTTCATGTGCGCAGTGGTCGTTTGGCATGACATGTTGTTCGAGGTGAACATCACCAGTAAGAGTTTGCAGGCGGTGAGTTTTAAACATTTCACTAGCAGCGGCTCAACTGAACTCAACCATGGTATTCCTCCAAGACTACCGCTCCGATGCAGCTTTTGCTGGCGCTTTAGCAAGCGCAAAAGAGTTGGCAGAGGAGATGGGTCCGTCCCAGGAAGAAGAGGAGTCTGTTTGGCTACGAGGGAGAGGATGAGCCTGTGACTGACCCTCAGCAGAAATTCAAAGTACATTTCCTTCATCAAATTCTTGAATCTGCAATCCAGTCCGTCAATGAGCGCTTTACGCAGCTCGAAGAGCACAGCAGTATTTTCATTATCCTGTAAAACATCCCCACCATCAAGGATATGGACATTGCAGCACTTACCAGGGATTGCGCAATACTGTAGAGGGCCCTTAAGTACGGGGATTCCAGGGACATCGACACAAAATATCTGTGTAATGAGCTCAAAGTCTTGAGCAGGAGACTGGACAGTGAGGCAAAACCACTCAACGCACTGGAGTACATGTCCAGACACCAAATGACCTCTGTTTATCCCAATGCCTTTGTTGCCCTGAGAGTTCTTCTCACACTCCCGGTGACAGTGGCAAGTGGAGAGCGCACATTCTCCAAGCTCAAACTCATCAAAAACGACCTGCGCTCTACTATGAGTGAAGAGAGACTCAATGGACTCGCCACCATATCAATTGAGCACGAGTTGTCTTACAAAATCAACCTCCAACAAGCAGTGCATGCTTTTGCTGCCAGGAAGGCCAGACGAGTCAACTTGTCTTTGAATAAAAGGTAAGCGTTGATCATACACTCGCATTAATTTGTAAGATTACTCAATTATCTATCACCTGTTTACTTTACATTTTTTAGATTTAAATAGACTACATCCTAATCTCACTCTCTCACTCTATTTCTCTCTCTTTCTCCCCCTCTCTCTCTCCCCTCTCTCTGTCTCTCTCAGATTATTTGATTTCAGGTCCATGGACAGCTACCGAGAGAAAACATTGCTGACTGCAGAGGAAAGATGCCACGCTAGGCGGAGACTAAATAAACAAATGCTGAAACTGATGTTGGACAATCAGATTCGCTATGTAAATAAACAAAATTCGTTTAGGCTGGGTCATTGACATAAAGCTTATTTTACACTGCTCCAGCGAAACAAGGCCCGCCATGCATTTATGAAAGCACTTGTTTCTAAAGCTCAAATGAGCTCACTCCTTTTTTACAGTTCTACAGGAATATTATTATTGTAACATTTATGGGATCGTGCCATGTGGGATAACAGATGGCATATTATTAATAAGAAACGCCGTTTCCTACTATAGGTAGTTGGCTGCAGTGATAGCAACATTGTACCTCTCCGATGCAGGGTTTAAAGTAAAATGTCCTTCTGCCTAGTGAGGCACCTCCTATATGTGCACGTGTGAACCAACATTTTTATGGGCATAATCACAGCGTTACATATATAATTGGAGCCTATTTCTTCCTATTCCAAAAAATACGTTGTAAGCCTACCTGTTTGACAGACACAATTATGCTATCCATAGATGTCGGTATAGCCAAATACACTGATTAAATACCTCGGTGCCTGGGAAGGGCTTGGTGTGTTTGGTTAAAACCAGGGCTCGAATTGAGTGAGGGTATCCCATACCCTTTGTTAAAGAAAAGGGCAAAAAGGGATATCTATTGTTTGCTTTATATGTTGAAATAAATGCATAAAACGTATCCAAATTATAGCAAGTGTTCTATAAGGATGCTTACTCGGCGATGCCTTACGGTAGAAACAAGCTCTAAAATGCCCGCGAAAGACATGACTCCGATGCATAAGGGGATATATTGATTCCTCCCTATGACATTCTGAAGCTGAGCTGCAGCCTATAATATTCGAGGAGTTAAAAAAATTGACTGCTATTCTATCCCTATTAATTGAGCTTTTCTCTTTCTGAAATGAGAAGATGTTTGTTTAAACCCAGGCAGCTTTTAGGGAAGCACTTGTGTTGTTGGGTTATAAAATGGACGAGTAGCCAGCAGTTGAAACTTACATTGCTAGAGCTTCTGTCTGGGTGGAAAGGTAACTTTTGAAAGTGCCATGCTTAGATTCATAAGGATGTCTATGACGTAATTATTTGCAAACAGCGTTGCAAACAAGACACTCTGGTTTGACATTGAGAAATATGGGAGGAGGTGGGGGGGGCGGCAGATTTTTGTTTTGCCTAGGGCGGCAGAACATCCAGGGCCGGCCCTGACCACCCACATATGTTCGCTTGACATCCCCTCATTATCATATTGCAGGAGGAAATACATAAAAAAATAAATGAAGAAATAATATAATTGAATAAAATGAAAGAAAGTGGGGAATAATTATTTAAAAATGATGTTTCTATTTGTGTGCAATCATTCATCCATTTATTTATTTATCTATTTATGTGTGCATTTATTTATTTATATGTGCATTTATTTATTAATGTATTTATCTATTTATGTGAGATTACGGCAGGTCTGGTTCTCCATAATATTTGGGCTTGAACAGGGAAATGCGAAGGTAAACATCTATGCCGTGTGTTTTGTGATAAAATGACGTGCATTCATATCTGACTATACCACCTACAAAACATGTCCATGTGCGTGCTCGTTACTTCCTGTTTACAATCTGGTACTACAGCTTACTGTCTGGAGCTGTTGGATGGGCAGACAGTGAAACGGTGAGTAAGAAAATAGCTAATATTATTCTGATAAGCTATTGATGTTCACTTAGCTATAGTAAGCAGCCTGGCAAGGCACACATTAGCTGAACAACTTATCAGGTGCTAACTTCAAGTAGACTGGACAATAGAAAGAGTAAATATTCACCCTTAGCTGAAAAACGGCCAAAGAACGTTGGCCGAGCTGGAACACTAGCGCAAGGCCATAGCAAATGAATTGAAACTAAACTTTGCTGAGCCTCTTCTGACTGCTATTTCCCCAAAATGGCACCAAAAAATGTATCCCTTTTTTATTTTACCACTGCAATCTGAAACTGTAAAATAACACCTTGTGTAGAAAGTAAACATCCGCACCTCTATGGTTGAGTGATGGCGCCGACGGAGATGGCTGCCTCGTGACTAGCTCTTAGGAAACTTTGCGGTATTTTGTTTTTTTATGTATTATTTTTTACATTATTAGCTGCAGGAAATATTTTGTGTCCTTACATACACCCGGGAAGAACTATTGGATATAAGAGCGGCGGTAACTCACCAGAACTACGACTAGGAATTAGACTTCCCCGAAACAGATCCTTCGTTCGCTCTCCCCAGACATTTACATTTACATTTAACAGGCGTTCTTATCCAGAGCGACTTACAGTTAGTGAGTGCATACATGTTCATAGCGGCCCCCCGTGGGAATCAAACCCACAACCCTGGCGTTGCAAACGCCATGCTCTACCAACTGAGCTACTCGCGGCGTAGCTCTCGAGGATCCCGTGGCCGGCAATGGCCGGGTATGGGCACGACGCTCCAGCAACATCCATTTTCAGGGCTAGTTGATTCGGCAGGTGTGTTATTACACACTCCTTAGCGGATTCCGACTTCCATGACCACCGTCCTAATGTCTATATCGACCAACACCTTTTCTGGGGTCTGATGAGCGTCGGCATCGGGCGCCTTAACCCGGGGTTCGGTTCATCCCGCAGCACCAGTTCTGCTTAACAAAAGTGGCCCACTAGGCGGCTCGCATTCTTTGCCCGGCTCCAAGCCAGCGAGCCGTGCTTCTTTCCCATTTAAAGTTTG